TCGTGCTCTTAAACAGATAATTTAGATAAATGGACATCCTTTTGGTTGATATTGCTATAATGAAGCTATTTTACTTACCGGCAGTTTTGAATTGCAAATGAGATCCCTTAGTTATAAACGTTTATGTTTGTTGTTTTTTTTTTTCCTCTGATAAATTTTTTTCCTATTGAAAATTTAAGACATTAGTTAGGACAGATACACAGAACTAAAGGAAAGGTTATTAGGCTCACATGGAATTTTGGAGTTGTCACAAATGACATTTTCTTAAATATCATCTGTTGTTCTTCTTAAGAAATTTCCTTTCTGCTTAAAAGGAGACAGGTTTTCAGTGAGAAAGGGTTTAAGTGAAGTGGATATTGGTGTGCTTTATCTGCCACTCATTTTATAAGGTCTTTACTCCATGTAGAGAGCTCAGAGTCCTCATCTATGACAGATGAGACAGGACAGAAGTTTCTAGGTACAGCTGGAATCAGCATTTCCTTCCTCTATCGTTGCCTACCTGTCCTGGTTTCATTTCTGTTTCTGTGATGAAACATCTTGACAACAAACAACTTAGGGGAGAAAGACTTATTTGACTTGTAATTTCATGTAACAACAGTCCATCCCTATGAGAAAGCTCAAGCAAGAGCCTACATATCCACAGTCAAGAGTAGGTGGTGGCACTCCTTAGGGAACAGGGAGACATGGAGGAAGGAAGGTATATACAGGAGAAAGATGGGAGGTCATAAAATGACAAATATGGGTGTCTGGAGAAGCCACAAAGAATCATACTATTAACTATTTACCCAAAACAACAACAAAAAAACCTATAAGGCATGCAGTTATACATATAAACATACATATAAAGTTTTAAGGAACTTTTCTCATCTGGAATGATGGTGTTTCCTTCAAAGACTCAAAGACCACCTAAGCAACTTCCCAATACCAGACGTGAGAAGACTTCCAAAACACAGAGCTTATTGCTGTATTACCACCAGTTACCCACTGGAGGTGAAATGTAAAATGCCCTACTGCTGAAGAAAAGGCAGACTTCAGGAACAGGGCCAAAGGCCCCTGAACTAGAGCCAACCTAAATACCCCCTCTAGGAGGACTAGCTTTCATGGTATCAGAGGCCTCATGCAAGCTTCCAAAGGAGACAGATAACCAACAACAAGCCCAGCTATGATCACTATAAGCTACATAAATGACTAGCACGGCCCAATAACTCTCCGGCTTCAGTAGTGGCACACACACCTTGGCAGTAATCAACAGCTCTGTACTTGGACTTAAATTCTGATCAACAACAGAGATAATATATGTGGTACTGGAAACCCAGCTAACTAATCAGTGCTGGTGAAATCATGGTTATCAGATCAAAATCTACAATCACTAGTTTACTGAACCAGTGTAACCCTTAACAACAACATATAAATATTTGTCCCAGAGGTACGTGTTGTCCTCATTCCTCGTCAAGAAAACTTCTCTTTGCGATTGACAAAGATCAGCATAGAAAACTGCAACCAATCAACATGCAGAACTATAAAGCTCAGTCCCAAGAGATGTATCTATAAACATCCCTCCATGCCTAGGGTTCTGGGAACATTGTAGAAGAGGGCAAAAGAAGGTGGGAAGATTGTGAGAGCTAGAGGATCAGGGTCTTTTCTGCGAGACTGTGTCTCCTAGTAAGATCAGAGGCTACACCTGTCAAGTTGCAGTAGCATTAGCACCCAAAGGTGAGCTGAGCTAGAAGGACACCAACAACCATGGCAAATTGGGTGAGTAAAAGTTCTCTGTGCAGGCCTCCAGCCTACACAGAGAACACCGGGCAATTGAGTGAAGCTGGGAGAGGGAGGGGTGATTCTCCAAATGGAAGAGCATCCCAATTTATTGTACAATGCCAAATGGTCAGCTCTAAAAACTTATGTACAATTAACCTTATATGGACTGAACAGATTACGTTTGAGAGTATATAAGTATGTACAAATACACGCATGCATTCACTAGCAAATGATGAAAAAAAGACGTCATGAATTTGAAGGAAGGCTAGGAAAGGCTGGGATGGTAAGGAGGGAGGACAGGGAAGGGAGAAATGTTATAATTAAAATACATCCCTCAAACTAAACAAAAAGTGAGAGAGAGAAAGAGAGAGAGAGAACAGAGAGACATAAATCCTTGCATGCTATTTAATTAGCTGGCTTGTCTATTCTCATTGAGTTCAGGATACCCTTTCTTTAGGAGAATGTTACCCATATACGGTGTTCCTAAATCGGTTAGCTTAATTAATACCATTTCCCACATACATGTCCACAGAGCAGCAAAATGAAAACAATTCCTCATTGAGCATCCCGTCCCAGGTGAGTCTAGGCTGATTCAAGTTGACAATTAAAGTGAACCATCTTAGTGCTAGTTATTCTTTAAGTTTTCCTGGAACTTTTGGTTAACAAAATCCTTTAAGATAGCTGCTTGAAAGTCTTGGTCACTGTTCTATTTCTCTGAAGAGACACCATGACCATGGAAACTCTTATGAAAGAAAGCACTTAATTGGGGCTTGTTTATAGATTCAGAATTTTAGTCCATTATCATCATGGCAAGGGACATAAAATGGCAAGGGGCATAAAATGGCAAAGGACATAAAATGGCAAGGGACATAAAATGGCAGGGGGTATGATGGCAGACAGGGAGGAATGGTGCTGGAGAAGTAATTGAGGACTCTAAGAAAGCTATACACTGGGCCTAGTTGGATTTTGGGAACATCAAACCCCACACCCAGTGTCACAGCTCCTATTTCTTCTCAAGTAGTACTATTTCCTGACGAACAACCATTCAAATACATGAAGCTATGAGGCCATTGTTATTCAGTTCACTAGACTGAAAGTTAGATAAGTTCCAGGACTTGTGACTCCCAGTGAAAAAAAAACTTGAAAATTATTTCTATTCTGAGGATCATTTTCTTTGAGAAAACATTAAACCCAGTCTGGGGACAGCTAGATTGAAGGAGGTAATGACAAACATTTTTGTCTCTGATTCTATAAATGAATTGCCTCATGAATATGTAGTAGTTATTTGATGCCAGAGGACACTGCATTTAATGTCTATGCAAAGTGATGCGACGCTGACTACATATTGAATTGTACTGTCTCTTCTTCTGAGCTTAAAATGCTGTTTGTCTTTTCCGTCATGTCTAGTCATTCCTTGCTTTAAAATCTTCAAAATAAGTCAGACAGTTAATTTCGTATGTAGTTTTCTATCATATTGGACAGACTTTCCATTTAACAAAGTGAAGAGGCATTTTGGATCCTGATCATTTGTTAAACTTGTTAACATTACTTTTCTTTATATCTAATATAAATATTAGATGTATTTATATTATCTTCTCTAATATCTAATGTAATGAACAATATCTCTAATATCTACTGTAATGAACAAGTAAATATTTGCATATTTATTGGTTCTTTGTGAATTTCGCATTATGCACCCCAATCCCACTCATCTCTCCCACCCCTAGTACCCATGCTCTGTGCTTGCAACCTGTCCACTTAGAGAAAAAAACTAGAACATCTCATTGTGGTAACTCTGGTGTGTCACAGTATGTCCTACAGAATACTTTTTGTCTACGTTTCTTTGATCACAAATTTTCATCACAATGACTCATCCTGGTAAGAGGCCTCTGGCTTCTGCTACTCTATCAATACTGGACATTCGCTGGGACTCCTCTCAGATAAAATATTCTGTTGTTGCCCTGTGTCATGGATATCCTATAGTTTTGGATCTCTAGTGCCCCCTCATGCACTCTAGCAGTTCATTCATGGGCTAGATGTTGGGGTGGGCCAACTCAAAACTCTGGATGTAGGCCTGAGAAGTGTCTGAGGTGGTCAGCCTGTCTGTTTTCCCACTCTCATGCCTCACCGGACTGGCTCATGAGCAACCCCCACAACCAGGGCCAATTCTACTGTGCTGCCCAGGAGAAGAACAGGGCCTGCTCTCACCAGTGTCGCAGCAAATGAGGGCCAGGGACAACTCTCCCACTCTGGTGACCTCAGGGCCAGCTCTCCTGCTTGCCATAGATAGCAAGAGATTGGGGAAGGGGGTCATCTTTCTCTATCCCATGTCACTGCAGGGTAGACCAGTGGCAAAGCCAACTCTCCCATGCTCATGTCCTCTGAACGGCTTGCCTGCTCCTCTGCCACCGGTGTCACCTGTAATGTGCTGTTCAGGTGAGGTTCAGGGCTGCTCTCCTGAGTGTGGTAGCTGATGAAGGTCAGGGACAGCTCTCCTGCTTTCATGACCCCTGACCAGGTCTAATTGCCTGTCACAGGTGGTGAGGGGTAAGTGGTATGGCCAGGTCTTCTACTGTGTTATCCTTGGGGTTCAGCTCACCTGCAACTCTGAGAATGTGTGTGGGGTTCTGCTCTCCTGAGAGTATTACAGCTGGCTAGGGGAAAGGTAAGCTCTCCTGCTCTCACATCCCTGAGGCCATCATTCCAGTATGCCCAGTTGAGAAGTGGAGCCAATTCTGCACAGCCCTCAGACATCAACATGTACCTGGACATAAGCCCAAACTAGAGGTATCTGTCTGGCCTTTTGTGGTAACTAACAGAATCCTGGGGCTTCAGGGCCATGTACACAGTGGTAGCACACGCCAGGACCCCGTCATGGTCCAAGGTGACATCACTGAGTTCTCACATCAGGATGTTCCTCACTATCCTTGAGCCTCCAATTCTGTTTCAGTTTTTTGGTTCCACATTCTTCTGTCTCTGTTTCACTTCCATTTCTCCACCACTTACTTGCTCCTCAGAAAGGCACCTTGGGTTTCTGAGTGTCCAGGGTCATCTAAGGAGTGGGCTCAGGAATGGTATGCCCTGCTTGTGTATTATGGTGCCAGGGAGAGGTCATCTTGGGCATGTTATGGCCCCACTCCCTTCACCTGCATGGTGCCGACTGGTGGTTGTGTCAACTTAGCTCCTTGTCCGAGCCCCCTGGTGTCAGACTGGTGTTCATCTCAGGCTCACTTTTTTCAGGGAATGTTAGGCTACTAATCATTCAGTTGTTCATAGGTCACAAAACTGAGCTTAAACATAGTCTTTTTCCTCTCTGCCACCTACTGACACACGAGCGACTCAACTGTCACACCTGTGATGCTCCTCTGAGCAGGTAGAATTTTTTCTGACAGGAGTATTTTGTCTTATCCTGAGTCCCTGGGATATCTTGTGTCAGGTCACCCAAGCAATGTTGAGTCTGGGTTCCATCTCATGGTGTAGTCTATAAATCAGTTCAGATATTGGTTGGTTGCTCTCACAAACTTTGGGCCACTATTATTCTAGCATATCTTGCAGGAAAGACACCATTGTTTATCAAAGGATTACGGCTGGGTTGGTATTTATGTTTCTCTTTAGGTAGAAGCACTTTACTATACTAAAGACATTAGAAGGTATAAGTGAAGGCTCTAGGAAGGCACCAGCTCTACTTCTCTATAGTCAATGAGCTGTGTAAGTAGAGTTGTCTTCAGCAATGGGAACTTGCTGTTAATTTGTGAAGAGCAAACTATAGTCTTGACAATGGTCTAGGTTGTTTGGGACTTCCTGTGGGACATCTTTGGCCAATAACTTAATTAGAAGTAACTCAATCCCATCACTGAACACTTCATTTCGTGACAAGAGATGGCAAAGTGGGAGCTCTTGACCCCCCATTACTTGACAGTTTACTTTAGACTGTTCATATATTCATATTTGGATGTATATTAGGATGTGTCTACTGAATTAGGTTTTTATACTATCCCTCAAATGATCCTTAGTTTTACTTGTATCTCCTTATATTCCCCTCTTCTTCCCACTCTTTTCTACCACTCCCCACTTGATGTTTCCTTTCCAGATCTAACCTTCACCCATTCATCCATAACAATCTATTGCATTTTTCATTCCCAGGGAGACCTATATGAACCCTCTAGTCCCTTACTCTATACCTAACCCCTGTGGTTCTATGGATTGTAGACTGGTTATCATAGACTTAATAGCTAATACCCATATATACGTGAATATATACCATATTTGTCTTTCTTTGTCTGGGTTACCTCATTCAGGATAACTTTTTTTACTAGTTTCCTCCATTTATGTGTGAAACTTAATGGCTGAGTAAATGTACCAGATTTTCTTCATCCATTCTTTTCCTGAGGGACATCTAGGCTGTTTCTGATTTCTGGCTAATATGAATAGAGCAACCACAAATGTGTTTGAGAAAGTATCTCTGTTAGGATGAAGCATACTTTGGGTATTTGTCCAAGAGTGGTATAGTTGGATCTGGAGATGGATCAATTCCCACCTTCCTGGGTAACTACCACACTGGTTTCTACAGCGGCTGTCCATGTTTGCACTCCCATCATCAATGGATGCCTGTTCCCTTTATTTGACATCCTTGCCAGCCTGAACTATCACTTGGTTTATTGATCGTAGCCATTCTGACAGTTGTAAGATGAAATCTCAAAGTAGTTTTGATTTACATTTCTCTGATTACTAAGGATGTTGAACCTTTCTTTAAATGTTTCTCAGCCATTTGGACTTCTTTTGTGAATTCTGTTTAGATATGTATGATATTTTTAATTGGTTTTGTTTTCTTAATATCTATTTTTGAGTTGTATATACTATATAATATATGTATACATTGTATATTAGCCCTCTATTAGATGTGTAGTTGGTGAAAATCTTTTTCCATTCGATAGGCTGCTTTGTCTTATTGACAGTGTTCTCTGCTATCCAGAAACTTCTCAGTTTCTTGAGGTTCCATATATTAATTGTTGGTCCCAGTTCCTGCAGAGAAGAGGACAGGAGCCTACGACAGATGGCCTCTGAAAGGCTCTACTGATTGAGGTATCAAAGCAGAGGCCGAGATTTATAGCCAAACTTTGGGCAGAATGCATGGACTTTATGAAAGAAGGGAGAGATAGAAAGACCTGGAAGGGAAAGTAGCTCCAAAGGGAGACCAACAGAGAAAAAAAAATAGGGCCCTGGGGGCCCTGCAGAGACTGATACCCCGACTAAGGACCATGCCAGGAGAGGATCTAAAATCTCTACTCAGATGTAGCCCAAGTAAAGTGTGCCAAACTGTATCTTGCTTTGGATCTTCAGAAACAGTTGGGAGACTTAAATGGCTTTATTTTATTCTTTCTTTAGAAAAGCTTTTGTAGGAGAAGAAGGAAATATTTTAAAAGTTTATTATTTTATTTATTCACTTTTTGTTTAACGGTTGCTCATATTCTTTTATTTTTTACAATTTAAAAAAAGAAAGTAAGTCATTTTTTTTTAGAATTTCATATGTGAATACTGTATTTACAGAATTTCTACCTCTCCCTCTTAACCCTCCAATTCTTTCCATGTTCTCCCTCATCCCACTAAAATTCATGATCTATTCGTGTTTACACCTGTCACACAGTGCACATGCATACACACACACACACGCAAGTGGCCGTATTCATGGGTCCTTTTCATATTGTTCATATGTAGATAGGTTTAGGGCTGACCACTTGGGGTTAGGAAACCCATCAGGGACCTCATCCTGGGAAGATTGATTGTCCTCTTAACTGCCATTAATTACTTTATTATTTTATGTTTACTAAAAATGTGTATTACCTATGTATGTATCCGTGTGTGCAAGTTACACACGTGGATAACATTGTTCATTACAGAGCATTAGAAATCTCCTTCATGCTGTTGTTCAGGGACATGCAAAATACCTCAGAATAATATAGGTCATTTCCATTGTCCTTGGCTGCTCCCCAGAACTTGATTTTAAGACCCTGTTGCTAAAGACACCGTGCATTTCAGACATAGGACTTTGAGGAGTTGAAGTGAAGCTGATTTGAAACCCTTCTCTTTCAGCATCATTTCTCACAGTATTGGAGAATACCATGAGAGCTAAGCTGCAAGGAAGAAAAGCAATCAATAGTTCTACCCGGCTGTAAAGCCTATGAACCACAGCAAGGACCATCATTGCAACATGTTCCCAAGGGTATAATAACGGCAGCTATATCTTGGGGGTAACCAACATCCATCTAATTAAACTTATGACTCATGGGGAGGGAATTCAGACCTCTACCTTAAACCCACAGCTAGTGAAGAGAACCTACTATTGCCACTTTGCTAAGACAGTATAATTTCCAACTGCATTCTAAATGCTGATCCTTATAAGCAGGTAAAGGTAGCTGTCATCCCTCAGCAAGGAAGGTTCTTTTTTCCCCCCCAGCACATGGGAATATTACAGAAACCCACAACAAAGAAAAATGTAGAGAGCAACTGACTATAGAATGTGAAACCCCAATTGCTGCATCTACAGAATGACTTCTATTCCCAAGGCTCAGGTAAGACAGGATAAGGCATGGGAGACAGGACAGAGTGCTGGTACTTCTGCTGCAAGATACTATTTGCTATATATGACAGGAAAGCTTCTTCCATTAGATCTCAACAGCATGGTCTAAACAAGACATGGACAATGACACTGTTTGATATGACAACACAGAAAGGGGATCGTGTACAAGTCACGACTCCTAAATGAAGACTTAGTGACTTCCAAGAGAGGCTTATAAACTTGTTTTCTAAATTTTACTAAAATGGTAACGACAGTATTTTATAAGGAGACAATATTTTCAAAAAGAAATAAATCTTTTTATTACTTTATCAATTACAGTTTTTTTCAGTTTTTATCCCAGCTGTAGCCCCTTCCCAATCCCACTTTCTATGCCTCTTCTCTTCCAATGCCCCTCTCAAAGTCCACTGATAGGGGAGGTCCTCCTTCCCTTCCACTTGATCCTAGTCTATCAGGTCTCATCAGGACTGGCTGCTTTGTCTTCTATGTGGCCTGGTAAGGCTGTTCCTCCCTCAGGGGGAGGTGATCAAAGAGCCACCCACTGAGTTCATGTCAGAGACAATCCCTGTTCCTATTACTAGGGAAACCCACTTGGACACTGAGCTGCCATGGGCTACATCTGTGCTGGGTTCTAGGTAATATCCATGCATGGTCCATGGTTAGAGTATCGGTCTCAGAAAGACCCCTGTGCCCAGAATTTATTGGTTTTGTTGCTCTCCTTGTGGAGCTCCTGTCCCCTCCAGGTCTTTCTATCTCTCCCTTCTTTCCCAAGATTCCCTGTACACTGCCCAAAGTTTGGCTATGAGTCTCAGCATCTGCTTTGATACTCTGCAGAGTAGAGTCTTTCAGAGTCCCTTTGTAGTAGGCTCCTGTCCTGTTCCCTGTTTTCTCCCTCTTCTGATGCCCATCCCGTTTGCTTATCTGAATGAGGATTGAGTATCTTACCCAGGGTCCTCCTTCTTGATTAGCTTCTGTAGGTGTACAGATTTTAGTATAATACACATGGTATTTATCACTTTTAAGTGGATATTAGACACATATTATAGTATAATAAAGAAAGAAATCTTAAGAGATAGCCAAAGCTATTGATTATTCTTTAAATGCTGACATTTCTTAAACAAATACTTAATGTGTATACTATAATACAATAGTACTATAATACAATTAGCTGGGATTTTTAAAATTAACCATTGAATACTGGTATGAAACAATATGAAGCCATTAGAGCAACCATGAGGGAAAATTATATTTTCTTAGGCTACTCATTTCAGATGTCTGATTACACACCTGAGATCTTTCTGAATTAATTCCCTGTTACAGCAATTAGAAAAAATACACTGTTTACATATATGAATAGTAATCTAATTTGTGCTCTTTATGGAATAAGGTCTTTATGCCAGCGCAGCTTCTTACAAGCCCGCTCGTGTCATTTCTGCTTCAGACATCACCATCAAAGACTAAAAATTTCAAGCTTATAGTTAGTTGCACATGATTAGTTATAGAGTAAGGAGGACAATGGAATAATCTAAAAGGCAAGAGTTTGTGTAATATGCATAATCTCACTTCAGCAATAAATGGATTTCTGTGTTCCTAAGCCATTATGGTATTGTTATCATTCTAGTCATTCATTGACAATGACAATTGCTGTCATTGCCTCAGCATCAGCTGACCTCCCGTGATTCATCTCCTTATAGCAGATAGTCTATTCAGAACTGAGGCCTAGATCTGCTGATGCTCTGTTCCCTTCCAATACTTGAAGTCTGTGTGAAGTTTAGACTAAAATATTCTTAGTGTTGTGAA